TGTCAGCCCGCTAGGCGCTAGCCATCGTTCTCAGGCTATTGTTGCTATTTTGATTTGCATTTTTTCACATGTATCTTGATAATGAAGATCCAAATTCAAGGTCATATTCCTGGGAAAATCATGTTTTGGCATGTATATATAACAATAATAAAAGAACAAATACGTGCGGTATAAATCATTTTTTCCGCCGTAATACATTATTTTAATTTATAATTATAATGATGCGATCACGATGGGACTGGGGTTTAGCGAACCGATATTCTGACGAATTTAATACGGCGTCGGATTCTCACAACACATGTTATCATTATTAGAAGAGGAAACATTTAGCCCGAAACATGCAGAGTTGATGTGTAGGCTCGGGTGCCAGCTTTGATCAGTATTCCAACTGGCAAATTGTCACGTGGACCTTGGCGGTTTCTGCTCTATCATCACATTTAATTTTAATGTATTTATTTATTGACATTCAAAGATTCATATAAGCCATACTCTGTATCAAAGACGTTTAAACATTTACGTTCCGTTTTAGTACGAAGTATTAAAAATAATAAGTGAAGATTAGAATTGAGATTGAAAATATATGTTAAAAAAATATTTAGTATGAGTGATTCTTATCATACGGGATTAGACAATCTCACATATATTACTTCTCCCCATAATATTCTCCAATCTCACATATATAGATTTGTTTAATCCTAAGTATCAAACAATTACTTATATTAAACGTTCTTTTAATATAATTTTTCACTTTTAATTCCAATCTTTATCTTTTATTTTTAATCCTTCATATCAGACGGGACCTTAACTTAATACTCCCTCCGTTCCTTATTATAAGAGACAAATAACCGAAGTACGTTGATAAAAAAAAAGTTAAAATTAGTTAAGAACAATTAATGTGTAAAAAGTATAATTTTTTTTCCAAAAATGCCCTCATTAATAAGGAGAGAGAGCATGAGAGAGAATAATTAAATTATTAAAAGAAAGAGAAGTGGGAGGGAGGGAGAGTGTGAGTTGGAGATAATAAATATGGGTAAAATAGTAAATTAACACAAAAAAATAAAGACAACTTGTAAGTGTCTCTTATATATAGGAACATGCCATAAGCATCAAATGTCTCTTATAATAAGAAACGAAGGAAATACTTACGTAATTGGGAATGACAAAGGAGGCAAACGTGGGAGACATTATGCATAATTTGAAGGCAAATAAATCTACGTACACAGACAGTTGCTTGGCGATCATGGCCAAGAATGGTAATATGCATCGCTTTATGTCTAGTCAGGCCTCAAAGCTTTAATAAACAAGCGACTCTGTCTCCTTCCGCAATCAAGTGAGCCTGATTGAAGATGCTGTTGAGCTGAATTGAGCCGCATTCCATCGTAATCTATGGTGGTTCGATTAAATTTTACATTTCCGTGACAGCATTATAAATAGGAAAAATAGCAAAAAAAAGACATTTGAAATAAAAAAAAATTACAAATAAGTATCTATGATAATATTAGTATGGGTTTTGACAACAATTTTTATAAACAGGTCTCTATGTATAATTTTTTTCTATTTCTACGGTTTTTTTACTATTTTTTCTTATAAATATTTGTTCACTACTATTTTTATTTGTCAATTAACCGTTCAAGATTTGTGTCAGGCTTTAATTTATTTTTAACTTCAAGCGTGTGAGTGAATACAGGAATTCCACCGTGCATTGCCTCGATGATTTCACGATTGTGACCTGAAGCATGCAAAAGAAGCAGGCGGCAAGCGAGAATTTAAAACCCGCATTGCATGGTCAAAAAGCTCGTACGGTTATTCTCTATGTGTGGCGTTGCACTGCAATTAATTTTATATGTCATGTTTATGATTGAATTTCACGCAATTACGTGGCAATTAATCTGTTGATTAGCTCACCCATGATCCTGATGCTATTCTGGCTAGGTGAGGCTGATTAATCAGTATTTGTCCATCTTCAATAATAAATTGATGTGTGAACCACATGCATTCTCGTGCTATTTAGTTGTAATGACAGCTTACTTTAGAATTCCTGATATTTCTATGTGCAATTAGAATATCGAAATCATTAGTACAATCAGAAGATGCAATTTAGACAATTAACAACCACAGACATTCAAAACCAATAACTCATCAGTACTAATGAGAGAGAGAGGGGGGAAGGGGCAGTGAAGAAAGCCAGGAGACAGCCTCAAACCTTTCTGCGGGTTCCTTTAAAATAAACCCCTTCTGGTGACAGAAATCCTCGTTTTTGTCAACACATATCATTTAATCTTAACCCACAACCTGTAAATTGGCCCGTATCATCACTTCTGACAGAAACCCTCATTTTTCAGTTCATAAAGACTGTTTATATAACAAATCACATATATTAAAATCAACATCTTATTTATTTCTGTCTCAGCTGAAATATGTGTAATATTCACAAAACATATTGATTAACCACGTCTTTAAATTGTATCCATTTATGTGCATAAAAAGCATCTTTGTCACATGGGACGATGAATGGAAAAATGGAAGTTAATTAATTATGGCATTATTTTCTGTTTTTTTTCCCTCATCAAACAAATTACTCTTGCTGCCACTCGGCATTGATTAGTAACGGTTTTTTGTTCACAGAAACTTCCGAATCCTTCCGATCAACACTCGCACCACAAGTGAGAAAAAAAGGTAAGGCAATTATCAACTGTTATTTTTTTGTTCTAAAGTGTAAATCATGAACTACTCCTCCGGTCCTTAATATAGGACCCAATTCTTGAGTTGGTTTTGGTCCTAAATATAAGACCCATTTCTCATATTTATCAATTTTCTCTAAATTACCCCTATAGATACTCCCTCAACCATAATCAAGTAGAAGAGGGAGAGGAGATATTAAGAAAGATAATTATGGTGTTTTAGGAAAAATATGTCACTTTTCTTATAATTAACTAACTTACCTAACCTCCTTAATCTAATCAAATTAGTTAAATGGGTCTTATATTAAGGACCGGAGGAGTATTATGCAATACTTGAAGCATACACGGCATCTTATTGAGTCGCCTCATGGTCACGCACATGGGATAGGATTGTTTAGAGGAGGGGAAAGAGATGCTGCGCCTTATCCATCCCAGATGGGTTATTGGAGCTAATTAACCCAAATGGATTGCGTGTACGCTTTACAGTGTACAGAGACATTCCCCATTAAAATCGCCCTTCCTTAATAGCTTCATCACCCAGTGTAACATGCTTGTGGGTGATGTTATATTCAATTTATAGTTTTTTGAAGTTTCCCATTTGGTGCCATAACTATCTATTCAACACTATCTCGGCTCCTGAATATAAAATTTTATTTGACTTTTATTTTAGTCCTAAATATAAGACCCAAATCTACCTTGTCTCTTATATTTTTTTTTTAAGGTAGTTTTTGTAATAATAATAGTTCTAGCCAATACATTTGATTAGTAATAATATTTTGAGAAAGCCATCACCTATTGATTACAAATAACTAACTTAAACTAGTTTTTTTAATTTAATCTAATCAGTCAATTAATCCTTATATTAAGAACCGGAAGTAGTACATTAGAAGTTTTATCCACACCCAGTAGTTGTAATAAATAAAAAAACCTTGATTGATAAGCATAAAATCAATCTAAAATGACTATAATTACGGTCATGGAAAATGATCAAATGTGAGTAAATATAAATAACATGGGAGACTACCAAATCACCCCAAATTCACCATGTAATCAAATTGCATTTAACAACATTTATATTCGCCAATCCATTCTTCGGCATACATGCTGAAATAGAATCTGAGCTCGAATTCAAAATTTCTCATGTGATCTCTCTTGATCTATTAGGAGGTTTTAATAAGAATGCCTGAAAACATAAGAATCTTACAAGTTCACCTGCTTATAACGGAATCGTTGCAGTCTAATGGCCTAAGATAATTTTCTCATGTTCACGAATTTCATTAAATGTTAAAATTATCCAGTCAAGCACCAACAGCATAGCAAATGAAGTAATATCTCATTAAAAACACAAACTAAATGATTAGATCTCAAATCACGGAGTCTAAACCTAGAAGGCATACCATTCACGATTCTGCGAATGTACATGAATTTCATCATCACATACCATGATAAATTAAAATTTGTGATAAATACCAACATTTACAATATTAGCACGATAAATTTTGTAGATACGACACAATAATGCACAAAAAGGGAGGAATTGATTATAGAATTAGGCATTTAGTGTGTATTGCATGCAAATTTACATAAATTATAATATTAGAAATTCACGATTAAAGTGACTTATTATTAATCTTAAAAGTATTCTATACTGTTATATTGATATTAAATTATAAATATAAGTTAAGAATATAATTTTAATTATTTAATTTTAAATAAAATTTTATTTTCATATTTGAAATCTAAACATTATTTTTAATCCTATAACCCTAACATTATTATTAATTCTATTAACAAAAGATGTCAACAGTGAAAATAAAATATTCACAAATATTGGTATAATAAATTTAATTTTTTTAAATAACAATGATTGTAAAAAAATTAATTTTAAATAGATGAAAATATATTGTATAAATTAATATATTAAATTAAAATTTTATATCAATGTAAAGAACAAAAGATACATTTTTATTGATATAAATGATAAAGAAATGCAAACGCAAGCAAATACTATGATTTTTCAAGGGAACTCGGTCCTGGACTACAGGGGAAAACTGGATAGTCGTGGCCCATGACCCAGGAAGGGGTGAGAGACGGGGAGCGAGGATGAAATATTCCGAGGGTTAGTAAAGTAATTTCGGAGCAAGACAAGAACAGCTGTTTTTTTTTTTTTTTTTTAAATTTTTCTCGTTTCCATGACCACGGTAATTAAAAAATCAATTACTTGATAAAATAAATATTAATATTATAGATTTACCCATCTAAAATATTATAATTATGTTTGGGGCTCTGTATTTCTATGGTGGAAAACGGAACCGCTAAGCTGGAAAGGAAAAGGTCTCCCTCTCCCCACCTCTCCCTCTGCACTTCGCCTTCATGACACTGCTTCTTCATCTGCCAATCTATTTTTATTCCACAGAAAATACACAGTGAGTGAGGCAGCGGAGGGAAAGAATTAAAGAAGCAGAGGAGCACTAGAAAAGAGCAACGGTGCCCACGCTAGCACCTCTGCCTTTTCATGGATTCCTCTTCTTCTTCGTCGTCTTCCTCTCTATCTTCTGCTTTATCTCTCCTCAACATCGCTTCCTGCCCACGGCATCCTTACTTTGATTGATACTCATACGCATACGTAGAGAAAAGAGGCCGATTCCAATTTCCTTCCGTTCTCAATCCTCCTCTCCTTAAGCCTGGCGGACATTAGAACCCTAGCCTTCCTATCGTCGATTCTGGCAGATCGTTTCGTTTTCCGGTCCATCGAGAATAAGAGGAGGGGGTTTTGTGGCGCCAAGATGTTGTGGCTCATGCGATTCTCGGGATTTTTCTCTGCCGCAATGGCTTTAGTTGTTCTCTCTCCATCTCTGCAATCGTTTCCTCCGGCAGAAGCCATCAGATCCTCCCACCTCGACGGATATCTCCGTTTGCCGGTCCAGATGCCTCGCACCGATAGTGAAAACCGATTTTCGTTCCGGAAAGCCTCTGCATTCCGCAATGCCGATAAATGTGGTTCGAATCAAAGGGGGGTTTCAGGGGAAATGAGTGTTTGCGATCCTTCTCTGGTACACGTGGCGATAACACTCGACATTGAATACCTGCGCGGTTCAATCGCTGCAGTGCACTCCATTCTGCAGCATTCCTTGTGCCCAGAAAGCATCTTCTTTCATTTCCTTGTGTCTGAAACAAATCTGGAGTCGATAGTTCAATCAACGTTCCCCCAGTTGAAGTTCAAGGTGTATTACTTCGATCCGAAGATTGTAAGAAATCTGATCTCGACCTCTGTTAGGCAAGCACTTGAACAACCCTTGAACTATGCCAGGAATTACTTGGCGGATCTTCTGGAGGGTTGCGTGAGCAGAGTGATTTACCTGGATTCTGATCTAGTTGTGGTTGATGATATATCCAAACTGTGGAGCACGAGCTTGGGTTCTAAAACAATTGGGGCACCAGAATACTGCCACGCGAATTTCACCAAGTATTTCACGGCGGGATTCTGGTCAGATAAGCGGTTCTCCGTCACTTTTGCGCGACGGAAACCGTGCTATTTCAACACGGGAGTGATGGTCATAGATCTAGTCAAGTGGAGGAAAGCCCGGTACACGAAGCGCATCGAAAGATGGATGGAAATCCAGAAGAGCTATCGGATCTACGAGCTGGGTTCACTGCCGCCGTTCCTACTGGTTTTCGCAGGACACGTGGCACCCATCGAGCACCGCTGGAACCAGCACGGCCTGGGTGGTGATAACGTCAGGGGCAGCTGTCGAGATTTGCACCCAGGTCCAGTTAGCCTGTTGCATTGGTCCGGCAGCGGCAAACCATGGCTCAGGCTGGACTCCAAACAGCCCTGCCCTCTCGACGCCCTATGGGCTCCATACGATTTGTACGGTCACACTCTCTGAAACATCATGACGGCAGCAAGGGGTGTTGCCGGTAAATTCCCTCGGACTGTTTTGTGATACATCCTCTGTTCACTTAATTCTCATTTTGGTATTTTTTTTCCCCTTTATTTTTTGTGTTATCTTAGTTCTTCCCACCATCGTCTATTCATTTTTCATATTAGACTATTATTTTTTCAGGCGATTTTTCATTTGTATTCTATTAGATTATTCCAGCTCTGAAAATAAAAAATAAAAAAAGAAAGAAAAAACAAAGGCGGCACATTCAACTCTGCTCTGGTTCATAAATGAAACTTTTTAAGTTGCGGGTGGCATTTAGGTTGAACCCTCAAAGTAACTTCTGTAGCAACTATCTAAATATCTAGAGTGCAAGCTATGGTATAGAATTAAAAAAAGGCGCGGACGTTGGGAGAACCAAATGATGACATTTGAACCTGTTAATTGTAATTGCAGCAGTTTTAATTAATGATTATGTTCCTGGGTTGGGGCTTTCTTGTTTGATTCTCAGGAATTCCCCCCCCATTATAGGCTCTAAGTGCTGTCTGGACTCTGGCGTCTGCTGTACCCATGAAGGGTCCTGTGGTATTACCTTGATGTACTGTTGGTTAAGGGTGGCTATGATAACAAGTTACGTCATCGTTTTGTGTGTGAAGAGTTCGTCCTGCGGGAACTTGCGGGGGTTGGCATAATATGTCGACATAGAAAGGCCAGGGGAAATGGAAGACAAATATGAACGCGTTGCTGTAACTAGGATCAGCGGAGAGAAAACTACGTTTGGGAAATGGCAACTTGCCGGCAACTGTAACTATCCCATGAGGGGGGCTAGTAAGCTGAGTTTTATTATTCGGTGGGGGAACACTGCGGAGTTGGCAGCGACAGGACATTGGTGGCCCGATTTCCTCTCGCGCCTCCCTTTATTTTTGCTTCCCACCGTTGGCAATTTTATCCTCGTTTGCTGATACAATCTATGCCGCTTCATTTTTTGGCCCGTAACAAAATTGGATCTTCCGATAATGTCAATTGCAAAACCAAATATTTAAGGGCTATGAAGCTCCGGAACTGAGCGGAATCAATTTGTCGGTTGAGGCTTCCTGTTTTCTTACAGGTGTCTCAGTGGGGTTTATTAAAATATCTCGAGGCCTAACATGTGGCTTTAACACTTGAAGCTTACGTATAAAATAGTCGGTAAGGATGAGTCTCTGATTGTGTTTTTATCAATTATATGATATAGAGACCAACGCACGCAATGAACACAGCTCTCTCGAAGTAACGAATACGTGAGCAAAATTGTTGTCTTTGAAATCTTGGGTAGGAGGCAAATAATATATTAGACTGAAAAAGGATTAGGACTAGGCAACCGATACTTTGGCAGGCTTACTCATCTTTGGTGGGCAAATAGAGAGGGATCAATTTCTTGACGTGGACAGATTTGGAGCTACTACCATTGTGTTAATCAATAAGCATAAGGTAAAGTAACTGTTTTAGAGGGGATGATTTGATATGTTTGGACGATTTTAGAACGGGGAAGGGCAAGGCGGCCATGGGATGAGGCGCAATAGGAAGCGAAGTTACAAGAGAGGCCAATGGTCGTAGATCAACCCTAATAGCGCGTTCCCTTGATTAGCTGATTTGTCACCTCAATGATATGATTCTCTAATTGACTAATGGATTTCAATGTGTAATCATATTTTATTCTAAATTTTTCTTGTCTCATGGAACTTTCCCTGGCTTGATCTGCGTGGGACTAAAATCATTTTAATTTTAGCGGGTGAAGGTTGTTGATTCATGCGGATGGGATTGAAATCTCACTCACTCCTCCCCTTCCCGGGGGGCCAAAAGTCTATATGCAGATGTTTTTGAATTTGATGGGTTTATGAAAAAGATTTGGCGGACATGGCTCAGAAAATGCTGAGAGTTTCGAAGAACAGCATACAACAATGCCCCAAGTCAGCAGCTAATCCTAAATGAGATCGCAGCCATTGAATGTTATTCAATCTCGACTGTAGCGGGAACAACTCCTAAAAAGATTTACAAGAGGAGTCCTATCGAATAATGATTGAGTATATACTTGAAACCTAGAGCCATTGGGGACCGTTCTATAGGCCTCTTTCCGATACCATCATGTGTTCGTGACAGCAAAAACAATTCCTGGCTATCCATTTTAATACAAACATGTGCATCCTCATCATTTCACATTGGCATCACCCCTACCTCCAACCCAATCTTTTTAATATATGAAAAAAGGAAGAGCAAGATGACCAATTTTAGAGGCTTTAAACTTGAAGATCCACTCCCATGGAGGTTTTCAGCGAGCCTCTGCCATTTACGTTAAAATAAATGAAGTTTTTCAGGGAAAAAAAAAACCCGCTAGTGCGGAGGAAAATCTCCTAAGAATAAGAGACGCAGTGCTAGGGGGGGAGCCACAAGAGAACCTTTCTCGTATAATCCTGAATAATTTTAAACTTCCTTAATTTTTTTTAATATATATATAATTGACAACATACTTGGCATAAATTCAATCGAATGAAGAAGAGATTCTAATTCTCTTATGCTGAGCTGTCGGTGAGAAGGTGCCCTTGTGCAAGGAAGCTTTCTTGATCAATCATATTAATGTAAGTTTGCGTGTGTCACTTTCAGGCACCATTATTCATGTGGAGCATTTGATAAACACCTGTTATGATGCTGCTGCACTTCATAAATTCATGAATAAAAAGTAATTCACGAGCTGCAACTAAATCCCTCCACACACACACACATATTGTCAGCAGACGGAAGATCAAACCAAACCAATTCTTGACAAAACTGTTAAAAAAAAAAACAAATGACTCAATTGCTACTGTTTGATTTTTTTTAAGCCATCCTATGGGAAGCTACTGAAACGAGGTTATAAAAATGTAAGGCTACAATCAAGACAAACACAGAACTAGATAGATATGTATGAAGCTTATATAAGTTCCATAAATTCTCATAAAAAGATGAAGATGATCGAAGAGACACATCTGGTTTCAGGGTCTGAGTTTGTTCACTGGTCATTATACGAGACGAAGGAAAGGTACAAAATAAGGAAAAGGCGGAAGCACAAATGTAGCCAAATAAAGAGAAGAGGGCTTTGGAACCTTTACAGCTAAAAACAGTCGGTGAGTTAATTCTGAGGTCCGGTGGACCATAGACATTCCGTGGTCCACCAACCCTTCTCTCTCTCTGACTCTCCCTCTTCATTCACATTTATGGCCTGTTCTTCCCCACACATATCCATGGTAAACTGGTAATCTCAGTATCACAATGTAGCTGGAGCTACTTCCACGTGGGATATACCAGTTTGTGCTGAAACTGCTATGGTGAAGCTCGAATGATTTGGCATGCCTAGGCAAGGACAGTCACCCACTGGCAAACAGTACTGTTTGAATATCTCAAGGTACTTGATGCCCCACTGGTTTCTACATTTATGACAAATCAAACCCCTATGCTTTTGTCAATGGTTAGCCAGATGCAGTTAATGCAGGAAGGTCCCGCCTTTCTGAGGAATATAAATGGAGAACCAGCTTGCTTGCTGCTACTTTAATTGTAACTTACAATACTTGGACTTGGCTGCGACCTTCATCGCCTTTACTCTTCTTCTGATCACTACTGAATCAGATTCATAGATTTTCTTTCGTCTTTGGGTTCTGCAGCTAGCGCTTGAGTGCCAACCATCCACGGCCATTGATGTGAGTGATATGTGACGGGAACATTCAATTCTAAAGCCACAGCAAATGAATGAGAGATGAATAGCTGGCCGAGAGTGACTGGATTCCAAGGAAAATAAAAAAAAAAAAAGAAAATTAAATCCTTAAGACTGTGAAAAAAATGCCAACACGGGAGTTGCATCGAGGGGGGAAAACGGAAAAACAAAGAAGATTATTTCTGATCTAATCATCGCTTCGGAATCACATCAAAGTTTTAGACGACAAACAACACATGAATGTTCATTGCTAGTCCGATTTTGTCCATTACAGCGAAGTTCATCATCTGGAGGGGACCATGTGAGAAAAATCTATATCCCTCTTCTGTTGGGGGACCAATCACACTTAACATCGTCTGAGCTAAATTAATTTCTCCTCATACAGGATGACGACCTTACAATGAATATTTCAAGACACAACGTCGCACATAATGCAATATGTACGTGTTGTATTGATTTGAAATGCTTTTATGTGCATTAGCATTAATTAATTATTAGGATGTTCACAGGGTTAAATGAGCAACCAGTTTTGTCTTGAAAACCAAATTAAGAACAAACTGAATATTGTCTGACTGTGTGAATCTGTGATAGGTTGGATCATACATAAGATTATTGTTGGGTAGATGTCCCGATTCAAGGTTCTTTTAGTAGCAAGTGCATTTCCTATCATAATTTGACTTAGCGCCTAGTGGAGAAATGGAGTTCTGTGATAAAATAGCGGTGTGGTGAAGTCTCCTCTCACCCTGTTCTTCCTGAGTTTGTATGTTTGAGAGGTAACGCAGGCGCATCGTTGGCTCTGAAAATTTATCCACTTATGCGTACACTATTTATTTTAGACTTATTTTTTTTAAAAAAGCTGTTGGAAGTCTACTCACTACCTTTAGCTCTAAATATAAGATATACTCCTTCGGTCCTAATTATAAGACCCAATTGACTTATTTGAGGAGATTAAGGAAACAAGTTAAGTTGGTTATTTATAATAAATAAGTATTGTCATTCTTAAAATATCTTTACTAATTAAGTATATTGGCTAAAACTATCATTATTAGAAGGATTATTTTGGAAAAAAAATGCATAAATATAAGAAACAAAATGGATTGGGTCTTATAATTAGGACCAAATAAAAAGTCAAATCGGGTCTTATAATAAGGATCGGAGGAGTACTTTGTAACCAGAAAGAGTATTGTAGAAGAAACTTCAACTGCAGAACGGGGGATTGATCTGTGACTTTCTTCGTCATGGTTTTCTTTATGAACACATGTCAAATCGTGCCGCTGGTAACGGGCTGGCGGCAAGAAATTGAATGTGTTAATCTTGGAGGGAGGAAGCACAATATATGGAGTCCGGCAGCTGATATACACATTCAACTACTATATATTCAATGCGAGTCTTTCAATGTTTCTAGTTCGAAAATTGACAGACGAGAAATTTGAAGAATTTAAACCCATGCAATATTCGTTGGCCCAAAAAAAAAGAAAAGAGAATCCATGAAATATTCAAGGGGACTGGGGTTTTAAATCAATTGACATCTGTTCGGCCCAATCCATCTTTGAACCAGAGACATCTATAATGTTCCTTCATGATTCCAAGAGCCCACGAATGTGATAAAAGTCGGGTGGATGGTTCGGTTCTTCGGTGCTTCAAACGATTTCCCAATATAAAGCCTTTTACCCAGCTTGAACTTCGCACTAATAAATTAATGATTCGGATCTCATTCCGTGAGGAGAAAAATAAAAATTTGAATCCAAAAAACATAACAAGGACTTTAATACTCCCACCCTAATAAAAATTAGTCAAGTCCAAAATAACTCATACTGAGTTAAAAAAAAAAAACTTGGAACTCAGCCAAAGAAGGTCATGGCAGGTGGTGTGTGTCAGATATCAGGTCATCTTTATCTCTCCAGATAATATACTACAGTGGGAGAACAAGTCGCTCGGGTCAGACGAGGGGACTCCAGACGGAGAACTAATAAGTTCGTTCGGCGGCCAAAATATATATATATATATATATATATATATATATATATATCGGAGGACTTCCAATAACTACCAACAGGTTTTTCTTTTTGTTGGCCCCCACAGCTGACATCATGTAAACTGAGAACACTTTTCTGACGTCTAATTACAAGAAAACGTATTTGATAAATACACCAATTTTCTGTGCCCAATTTGAACATTTATAACTCAGGGCATGTCCAGCAACCCCCAAGATTTCCCGATGACTAATCACAAGAGGCAGATAAAGATTGAATGAGAAGGAAAATATTTGCATATCCCAAACACCATCACACCTGCTTCTTTTCAAGAAGTTGATAAATCTTTGATAATTGCAAGTGCCTCCCATAAAGACATCCTCAGACCATCGTCGCAAATTCTATTCAGACAACGCAACAATAAAAAAGAATCAATCCCCCTACTTCCACGAACTGGAGTGCGTTATCATAGGGTGGACGAAACCATGCTCCAATAGGAGGCGATTTCATTACCCATGGCCCAAGGACGTCAATGAGCGTGATAACTGGCAGGCAAAGCAGTCAATGTCCATGAGATGTATATGACTAAAACAATATCATCTTGAGTATCAAGAGGACTAGCATGACGAAGCACATTATAACAAGCACTGTTGCACACGTAACCATTCCTCCTTTCTTCTGTGTTCTCTCAGCCTGCAAGTGCACGTAATACAATTATCTGAGAACAGTTGCACCAACTGAAATTCCAAAAAGGCAGGTTAATACAAGCACCAATTTGCATAAGCATGAGACTGAGCTATAGTAGCAGGTAAAGGAGTAACAGAACCTTCTCCAACTGCTTAAAGCCCTCTTCAACAGATGTAGCAACATTCTGAATGTTGTAATCAATTCTATCAACAATCGTCCCCTGCAGGTATATCAGGTCTCTTAGTCACATTTCATTCATTAAATCCATTATATACAAGGGCGGGGCACTAACCTGGTCTATCACAAGAACAGAGAGATCCTTCATGATCTGTGCCAGCTCATTCACTGATTTAGTGACCTACAGCACATTTCACATTGTCAGACAAGGTAATGAAAGAGATTTGTCTCTAAGCAATACATTGAAAGCCTTCACGTTGCCTGTTCAATCTCTCTTTCCCTTTCCTCCGAGAATTGCTCACTCTTCTTTAGCTTCGCCATCTGATGATCACTGAGACCCTGAGAACCATCAACCACCAATTGTTACTATCGCCTTGACTTCTTCCCGAACTTCAACCAGCACAGAATAAATGAAAATAACACATAAAGTGCTTCTTTTAAACTAGCAGCTCGGACAGGGATAAAACAGTAGGCCCCAAAGATTAATTTAAACCCAATACAAGCAATTCTGAATGAAAATAAACAATGAAAAATATGAACACAATCAAAGTTATCATCATCTAATCATTACCTCATTCTCAATAACATTTCAATTATAGAATAACATGCCAACGATGTCTCCTTTAGGCAGACCCGAGGAAGAGGACATATAAATCCTCATATTTTTATAAAGTAATTTAAGAAAATTAGTGTTAAGTACAAGCCCTACAGGAAACTTCATTATTCACCTTCAAACAAAGAAGCGCAAGGGTTTGTTTGCACATTGCAAATCATACAGCAGCGTTCCTCCTTTTTTGGGTTAGTTTAACAATTAACTTGCAAAATAACATAAAGAAAAAAAATTTGAGAACTCGTGATTTTCAACCCAAAAGAAAGCAAGAAAAACCACACAAGTAGCGCAGCTAAGAATCTGAAAGTGGAAAAATTGAGAAATATGTAGTTTAGCAGAATCATTATTTCCAAGGTCACGATTTGGAAACCCAGGCCACTTCAATATCAAACATAAATCAGTTACTGTCAATGCTTGATGAGAAATCTGTCCTTTTCCTTGTATTCTGGGAGAGGGGGTGAGGGTGGGGGAAGGAATTTATAAGTTAGCCGCAGCTTATTATGAAAGCAAATCTTGCAGGTTCAACATCTTAATTTCTTATTGACAATCTCTAGGAAAGAAAAAGGAGCCACTAACAGTCAGTTGGTAAAAGATTTCTTAAAAATTAGGCCATGCTAGAGCAATCAATTGCATGAAATAACATACCACATCACTGAATCCATCATCCTGCGAACCAAATTTATACCCATTCACATTCATCTCCAAGTCAACCCCATCATATCCCTACAAAATCAAATTTGGACATAGATATCAGTGAGGAAATATAATGGAATATACTCCGTCTGTTCCGTTTTATAAGATACAATTAACTAAATCACGTTATTCAAAAAATTAGTTAGGTGCAATAAATATGTAAAGAGTGTAACATTTTTGCCAACAATACCCTCATTTATGTGGAAGAGAGATAATGTGTGGGAGAGAGAATGAATAGGAATTAAATACAATTATATGAGTAATATGAATAATTAAATAGGGGCAAAATAGGAAATCAACACACAAAATTTGAAACAACCTATAACTGTCTCTTATAATAAGGAACAGAGGGAGTATATTTGAAGCTGAGGGCTAGACATAGTTTAGACTTAGGATAATGATCTTCTATTTAATCACTTGGATACTAAAAGAATAACAATAAGGAGTAAAAATGAAGAAAATATACGGCTCCTTAACAAAGAGATTTATCGGTCATTAAATAAAGAGTAAAATTTCCGTGTGATTATAGAAAGAAGCTAAGTTGGATAGGCATGGTAATTGCAACCTCCTTTTGCTGCTGCAACCGTTTCAAGTATTGTGACTGCTTTCTCCGGAGGTCCATTGACAGGTTCTGAAGGTCTGTAGCAAGGGAACGCTGCCAGAAGTTGATAAAGATGAGTCATACTAGTTGGCAAATGACGTAATGTATAGAAGCAACAATATGCTTCCTATATTTATCTTAAAATATGGAAGCAACTACTCAAGCCACCTTGACATCTTCAAAGAACAATCTCAAAACAAAATGATAGAATCAAATATGAGAGAAATCAGTCGAGCAACAAATGCAATGAAGATAGGAAAAGGAGTCATGTGGATGAATAAATCCAATAATGGAGCAACATGAAATGGCCTATAGGACTTTTTGGGGACGGGGAGAAACCATAATTCAACAGAAAGCCAGCAAAACATACTTCGACATAAATAATACATAAATAATCCGCAATAGCTTATATAGCTCCTTTTGCACAAACTCCTTAATGAAGAGAACGAAAAATTTAAATTTTCCAATACATCCTTGGAACCCCGTCCCAAGGAAAAGGTGACTAGTATTATTGAATAAGGTATTATCCCATGTAATATATAATATTTTGAAAATTACCTGCACATTTTTTCTAACGTTTGAATCCTCAGAGGACCCGCCTGTGGCAGAAAGTCTTTTTAGCTTCATCTCAGATTTTCTCAAGATAGTTGTAATCTCCTGGGTGAGAATCTCAATCTGTTGTTGATCTTCTTTACCATCACCAAAAGAGGGCATTAATGCCTTTGCATGAAGTTTGACAAGCTCAGACATTTTAGCCCGAGCACGTTGTATATTTGCAGCTATTTCTTCAGAATCATCTACCCAAGCCGGTGGCAACCCCACAGTAAATGCATCTCTGAAAGCCAAGGCACAGTTTCCGATTGTTAAAGAAGCCAAAAATTCAAATGTTGAAGGCATAACTTCACCTATGCCGCAAACTTGAACTAAAGGAATGGATTAAACCACACAAAATGAGGCGATAAGAAATGGATCCACTGGCCAAGCACTAAACACCCACACTTGCAAGAAGAAGCCAGATTAGGGGTTACACACTCCTCACTTGCCCATTCTCCCCAAGTGACGGCCCCATATAATATGCTAATAATTTAATTTTCCATTGCCAGAGCACTCGAGGCTAATCAGTGAGAACAGCGCATAGAAGGGCATAGAGTACTTAGATGATTTAGGGTTCAGAAGTCCCAAATGGCGGCCTAGATTAGAATATCTCCTTAATCTTGAATTTTGATGGGCAGAAGGTCTTGATATAAGGTAATCCGCGTCTGACGCCTATGCTTCATATCAGTCTTCATTACTTCCTTCATCCATGTCATGAAATTTCAGTTTGACAATCTCCATTTGCATCCCTTGATTCATTTTCCGTAATTCACCATGCATTCTAGCCATGGTGCCAGGTCAAGCTCCGATACTAATTGGAAGTCTGGTACTGATAAAACCATAACAAAATTCTTATTTAAGTCACAAATTTTTGTCTGCCTTGTCCCTTATTCACAAGCTATTAGGATGCAAGTTATCTAACAACTTTTGCTAAAAACTACTGATCCTAATCAACTTATTCCACATAATAGATTGTGATTTCCATTGGATATATCTTCTTTGTTAGATGAAAATGATATTAAGAAAGCATCCCCATGGCTTCGTTGCTATAAGGGAATAAATTGAAAGTATTCCTCAATTCACTAGGGCAGCGTAAGCCATAACCAGCAACAATTTATCAAGCGTAACCTAGTATTTAGTGGCTGGAAGTGAAAATGATGAAGCATAATAAATTAAATCTCATACTCATCTCGGTCATGCTTAGAAAACAAAGAGAGATCAAATCCAGATGCAGCTTTAAAAAACAGGGCATACCTCGAAGGGCCCGGATCTTCGGTGCTTAGAGGAGCATATGAAGATTGATTCGAACGAAGAAGTGAAGTGCTAACCATTTCAATAACGGGACCACCGGAACCAGAAGCTGAGGAAGATAAAGGAGCTCGAACACTCTTGACGGCATCTCTGTGCTTTCTAAATAGTACAGTTCGATTTCTGGTGGCCATTGATTCCTAAAACCTCAGTAATTTGGTTAACAGCGAACGGAGAAAAGAAGATTGGCGGGGAGTGTGCAAAATTCAAGCGCGCAATACCAAGAGAAAGAACTGAACAATCTAACAAACAAGAACTAGGAATCTCGGATCGGAATTAATAGATTTCCGTTCAAGGGTCCATAGGGCCGTTTCGTCAGTTTCGTCAATTTGATTAAATTTATTTTTTTTAAAAAAATCTTTGTTTTTTATTTTTTTGGTCAGAAAAAATTCATTATTCATTTTCTAGTTGGTGGTAATATTTATATTCATAATTCACGTAAAATGTGACTTTATATTAATTTTGAAGAGTTTAAATACTAATTTTCAAAAAGTAACAATATTTGTTTATAACAATTTTAATTTTGTAAGTAGCTTGATATAAGAGCTAGATTAATTTAAGTAGATTAATCAAATTAGTCAAGTTACTTATTTGTAATACTTTTGCTAATTATGTGTATTGACTAGAATTATTATTTGATAAAATTTTCAACATATACAAGTGTAACTACTGTAAGGATTATCTTAAAAAAATAGATAAATATGAGAGAAAAGTAAATTAGGTTTTTATATTTAAAATCAAATTAAATAAAAACAGCATCCGTTTCTTAATACTATCTCTCGTCCTTAATATAAGAACTAATTAATTAGTCTAGAGAGATTAAAAAAATCAGTTGAGCTAGTTATTTGTAATAAATAAGTGTTTTTTTTTCTAAAATATCCTTGTTAATTATACATATTGGAATTACCTTTTTATGGAAACATTTAACTAGTGCAACTATTATAAGGTCAATTTTAGAAAAAGTGAATAAATATGAGGAAAAAAAGCATATTAGAGTCTTATATTTAGGATCAAATTAAAAATCAAACTAACTCTTATACTAAGAAATATAAGATATCAATTGACTTTGTCTAGTATATTTATCTAAAATAATTTTTATAATAATTACACATATTAAATAATATATTAAATAATAATTTTAAATAATACACATTATTAATAATTAATGAAAATATTTTTCAAAAATAATATTTATTTATTATAAATAATTAACTTAACAAATTTTTTAATCATGGCTATGAATTTTATACGGAGGATGCTGGAGTTGAAAAGAGGAGGGCCAGAAATCTTGTTGGCTAAGGAGCTATGAGCAATCCGAAATTCCTTGGCACTTTCCTCGTCCACTTCTCGCCCTTTTTTCACTATATAAACACCACCTCCCTGGCTCTGAAAAGGAATCCATCCATCCACAGCGCACACCTCCAAACTCCTCCAAACTTTCTCGTGATTCGTGAATTCGTCTACTGCTTTCCCAACAACATATACTGAGTGCAATTCCATGGAAGACCGAACCTGGAGTCCTGTCCCATCTACTGCTTCGAGAGGCTACCCGTCGAAGATAAAGTCCCATTTCGGTGATTCTGTCGTTTCCATTTTACTTTTTCACTTATCTTTGATCATCTATTCCCTTTTGATGTGAATACGAGATACGTAAAAAAATATGAGTTCTATGTGTCCTTGCGTTCTCTATTTATTTGTTTGTTTGTGGATGCTGGAGCAGAACTTTTTATCGATTTTGAGGAAGTAGATGGGGACGACGAGCTCAAGACCGCATATTCATGCCCATTTTGTGGAGAGGATTTTGATCTTCTGGAACTGTGTTGTCATCTTGAGGAGGATCATCCTGTAGAAGCAAAGACTGAGGTAATTATATCTCATCTCAAAGGGTCAAGTAATTTATTTTTGTTATCAGCGTTTATCGATTTCTTTAACCAGATTGATCTCATTAGTCATTACCATTTCTTTTCCGGTATCTTATTCTCGTTTTGATGGTTTGGCTGATCTTTTCAGAGAACTAATATAATATAACACGGGCATTTTATGATTGATTAGGATTGAGTGCGAACCATGATAAAAGAACAACATATCTAAATCGCGTGATAAAACTTCATTAGGAAGTTGACACATGAATCTAATCTAAAATCTACCCAGGGCTGCTTCAACAATAGCTTCCACAAACTAGTAAATTTTGTTACTAAACGTGCATCAATATCTAATACAACTGATTTATCTGTTTAATCTGCTCAATCGAAGTATTACTGCATATTCTTAGATTGCACTTGCTAATGTCCAATTTCATTTGTGTTTGCAGATTTGTCCTCTCTGCCTTACTTGGGTGGGGACGAATTTGGTTGAGCACATATCAGCACATCGAAGCATACTTGAGATATCCTTTACGTGCTGTAGAAATTTTTTCGTTTCGCTTACCGTTTGTCTTTTTCTTATTTCAATAAATGTCCTTTGATGTTTCACTTATTGCCTTCCTTGTGATACGATGAATTGTGTTACAAGTTCCTTCACTGGATATCACAGTCAAATCAAACCTGGATACCCTAAATTTGAGCCTTATGGAGCCCTGTCCCTTTCTAGAAAAGATCTACTGGATGGAGATGGATGCTGGCCATCCTTTTCTACTGGTTCATCTTCTGAGATTTCTACATCCAAGACAGCATGTGATCAATTGCTATCATTCCTTCACTGTCCAGCTGCTCCAGATGAACGTGAAAATCTGCAGCCTGCTTCTTCAAGCGAAGTAAGCATAGAAAAAGTAGACTCAAAGGAGTCAGTATTAGCAAGGTATGACGAATTGTTACTGTTGACTGTGATCATGCTGCATTCCTCTTGCATCATTTCCATTATGAAATTGAAATTGTAGTTGCTTGATGTCATTATAGCTTCCTGGAAGGAACAATTACTTTTAGATGCTTAAGTTATCATTTGATTATTGATAAAATAAAGGATGGTGAAATTGGTGTACTACTCATCATACTGGAGTAGTTTACAAGAGGTGGAAAAGGGCACTTCCTAATTTCTACGAGGTCACTAATAGCTCCTTTGATACAGTTTGGTACAGATGTTTCTATAAAGCTTCGTAGTTTGAAAATATTGTGAGGAGTGAACTTACATGTAAGATGATTTGTGCCAAAGCAAAATTCGCTTATCATGGAATTCCCTAGGAAAAAGGATGTGGAATTTTTGGGTTCTATGGCCTTTCTTTTATTTTATTGCGAGGGAAGCAGAAGAGAAAGAAGGCCCCCCCCGGGGGGGGGGTTTGGTAATTTAAAAACTGGCTTGCTTAGATGTTAATTCATACAAGTTTCTATCTATTTTTCCCCTTAAAGATGTGTAGCATGATCTATTACTACTTGTGATGAATGCAGAAATGGTCAACAATCCTTTTCTGACGAAGACGAGATATGGAAAGCACAGCGAGGTGCGTTTGTACAAGAACTTCTTATTTCCACTATCCTAGACCCCGACTTCTGATTGAGAAGAGCATGGACATTGATCTTTCTTTTTTTTCGACTTTGACGAAAAGAGGGGGTTAAAGGAAAAGGAATTAGCTGCAGCAGCCAGTCTCTATCTTGAAAAAGATTGTTGATCATATTTTCCCCCCTGAGAAATTAGTGCAAACTTAGTCTAGCATGGTACGGTTGATCATGTAAAGGATGGACCTTAGTGACATAGCTTGATTTGCGTAATTGAAAGGTCTTGATTGGATTAGTTTACTAATTTTTAGCAGCAATTCTATACAAGAATTTCTGTATTTTGTTGTACAAGCTAAGTTATTTAGGGAGCCAAGCTGTATAGGAAAATAGGAATTAAATGTACTGTCTATATGGTATATAGGAAATTAGGAATTAAATGTACCGTCATTGTAGGCAATGTAATTTTGTAGTTCATAACAGCTTCCAGCCCTATTCTCCATCACCTCTGACGCGGTTTACTCTTACAGAGGGGAAAAAGAACTTGAGGTAAGCTGAAATAATGTATTTCGTTCAAGGGAGAGATGCTTTGTAACAGCTAGTTTGGTCTTAAATATAAGATATATTTTGTAATGCAACTTAAAAATTGTTAGACTGTAGTTTGAGAGGATCCCCCTTCAGTCTGGCATATATAGGGCGTATTTTAAAAGATATTCTTAATTCTTTTTATAAAGTATTTGGTAGTTTTAAAAAGGATTAAATATTTTTCCACACATGCCCCTATTTAATAAAGATGGTAAGAGAGTAAAAATTATGAAATTAGAATTTAGTATGGTTAATATGAATAATATTGAAAACATAATTTAAGTTTCATGACAGATTTGATAATTTAATTATTTTTATGGTACATATGAATTAGTTAAAATGACTTATAATAGAATTAAAGGAGTATGTAATAAAATTGACGTTGGAATATAATATCTAATTGAGGATTGAATTTGCGACATTTGTTTTTTGGCTGAAATGGCACTTAATATGGACTGGAAGGAGTATTAGTATTAGTAATATTATTAGTATAGTTAAATACTGTTAACAGTTCCACGCTGGCGTAAAATCACAGTCGTCCAGAGCTATAACTTCATCCACGTCCAGCAATGCTTGGACTCCTATCTCGCTCTATACATCGATATCAAGAGGGCCACCACGCCTTCGTACTCTCTGGCTCTATTAAATAGGAAAATCGAAACTGCGCTATAAAATCCATTGCATGATTTTATAGCAGACTAGCAATGAGGGGTGAATAGTAGCCTCTGGGACGAAAATGCCTTGGCAAGAGTCTAAACAAATGGCTAGTTATAATTTTACCTTATAATATTAAGAAACATCCCCTTTGGGATGAATTAAATTACCACGCAAAGTGGCAAACATGCAGAGAATGCATTAGTTTCCAAAAAGGATGAAAAAGGCTTAACTAAATTAACAGAATCGCTCCTAAGAACTATAATTACTGGGGTGCACCTGAAATCGAGCAAATAAATTTCACCACCTTTGCTAAATTATAAATAAAAATGGAAAAAAAAAAAAAAAAAAACTACCCAAATTGAAAAGATACGATGATTTATCCTTACACCCGGACTATAGAAGTTTGAGCGGCCCCAAACAATATAAAAAGCGGGGCGTATAATTTGAATGTACCTATGGCAGTTATATCATGCTTTGCTCAAAAAGCATACAAATTCCAAATGCCTACGAGCCTTCCAAGAACTTTTTATACACATCAATATAGAATGGTCGAATCAGCAACTGCCATCTTCAGTCCTGTACGGTATACGGCAACTTCTATGACGAAACCTGATATAATTATTATGAGGTGAGGCTGAATCAAGGTGGTTAGTAAAGATGATATTGAGCAAGGCAGACTATCAACACTTCTCATTCTGACGGGAAAATTTTAGACTCTTGTCCGGATCATCTCCATCGAGAGCTGTGATTAACAAAGAACTGATAATCAGGATGTTTAGCCTTCAAACTCTGAAGCCAGTTATCAGCAGCCTGCACCAGAGAGTTAGCCTGCTGCCATTCAGAGTCTTCATTTGGAGACAAAATTGAACCTCTCAGTTTATAAGAGGCAAGGGCAAATGAAGGAAGAGAAATCTTTAAAGATGCGCCAACGCCATGAACCTTCTTCTCCCCGTGAGAAACACGAAACTGCGGCTCACTTTTGCCTATTCGAAAGATACAGATGAGACACAAATAAATCAGACTTCAATCATTGATTGTGTATTTGGAATAATGAGCTAGACTTACTCCTAGAGTGAGTTGATAAGGTATGGAAGGTCAGGAAAGACGCATCCAGACTTTTTAGACTCGAACCAACTGGTATTCTATAGATTGGATACCTGAATCCAAGTTTGATTCATTAAGTCAGAGAACAAATTACTGGAAGAACCGCAAAAAAAGACAAAAGAACATTTTGACACTTACCAAGCCACAGAAAACCAACTAGAAGGCAGTAGGTCACAACTCCTGTATTTCTTTAGATCTGGAAATTTAGAGGCAAGACTACCAACCTAAACAAAAAACGAAAGAAATCATGTGTCAAATCAGAACGAAAATTCCATATGCAGATTTTAAATGAATGAACTTGCCTTGTCATAGATAGGCGGGCGAAAGTGTGGTTGCTCCCAGTCAAAAAATTCAAATACAAGCAGCCCAGGTGAGTTGCGGGCCTCAGTTTCATCACTAGAAGAAGCCACCAGAGGTTTATCTCTTACAGTTATTCTACCAAATCGCTCAGAATTAACATTCATCAGGTTAGAGTGATTTGAAGATCCATCAACATTCATCAGGTTAGACTGATTTGAAGCTCCATCAACACCACCCTCGTGAGGCTTCCTGGTCCAGTTCAATTCCAATATTTTACATGTGAAATAGCAGCACATCATAACCATTGCAATGACAGTAGATTGATATTTTATTTTCAAAGCAAAGGGGAAAAACTTTGACGTACACTGGAAACAAAAATCCAATTTTTTACCTCACCACAAAAGAGCACCAGTGATATCATGAAATCATAAAGAAATTTTCATCACAAGTTAACTTAGGACAAATATAAACATAGATAAAATTTAAGATCACCACACATGATTTACAAAACAAGGTGCATGAGAGCCCATTTTATCTAAGAAAATAAGGTGAACACTTCTCTTGAATCATCTCTTTCCTGTGACTGACAAGCAAAAGCTAGCGTAGATATGCAGCACATGAGATATGGTAATAACAAATATGACGATAAATGTGGGTATAAACTAATTTCATATTATATGTTGAAGTCAATGTCTCAAAAAATAGACTTCACACCTTCGCAGTACAATGTGGACATGAACTCCATTTGAAAACATCAGTAGCCAGCACTTTCAAACCTAGTAAGACTCAAATATGCAAAGCTAAGTAAGTAATCCCCTGTCACTCAATCCCTCCTGTTTATCCCAGCAACATCTCAAGCACCTAGCTATATTAAAATTATAACTGCTGAAGTACCGCTCTCAGCTAAATTTCCCCGTAGTTTAAGAACCCAGCATGTATTAAACTTCATCCTGATCAACTTTAAAAATCTGTTTTAACTCATTGATAACCTATAACTTCTCGAAAGAAATTTATGCATGTAATCTTTTTTGGAACCTTCTTTACACTGTCGCTTTATAAATGCTGCTACATGTTTTCCAAATGCCCGCTTGTATCATGGATGTCTTAAGATGATAATAAACATCAGCAAAAAATACAACTTTCTCCAAGATATAAGCCTTAAGTTTCCATATGCACTGACAATATAGAAGGCCATATCTAGAATTCATTAAAAAATATACTTATTCCATTTATGAGTGGGTCCATTAGGCCTTGAGTTCGGCACAATGAATGACCAATTAATCAAACTTCCAACTCAAGAGAAACTTAACCAAGGAAAGGTGATCACAGTAGTCTTCATCTCAGCACTTAATTAGAATTGGTTTTTCTAAAATATCACAGAAGGCCCTTACCAACCAATTTTTTATCATCTTTGCTTCAAAATAAACCTTTCACTAACCAAGAAATAAGAGTTTAATCAATGAGCCTGAATTCTTGCATGGGGATTTCAGGCTTGATTAGGAATGTCTACGCACTGCAAACCAAGTCCAATTGCTTCACGAGCATGCTTTTGAAGCAAGAACACTTGACTATAGTATCTACAGCAATAAAGTTAAACTTGAAATGAACTGTCAACAGACCCTCACTAATGGTTAGATCATCGTGATAATAGTTTTAAAATTTATGCAGTATTATATTCATCGGGTTGAATGTGATTAACTGCCATGGTTGTACCCAACCTCCTAAACCAGTCACTTTAGAACTCTACGGTACATAGTATCCCCACCTTATACAGAAAAATGCATACCCAAAGAATTTGACACCTCCCATGCATGAACAACTTGGAGCAATGATCAAACTAGATTGGACGATGGTGACTTCACTTGAGCCAACCCCAAGCTAGGACACTGGTGCCTTCTGAAATAAATTTCTTACTGGTTCAGCACATGCACCTTTCCAACCAAGTTTCGGCTAGTCTTTGCCCAATTTTACCCTTTTGTCTTTAGCTCAACTTTCCATCTAATCTCATTTAAGTTGTCCAAATCCATTACGGACTATCCATCTATTTTTATTATTTAACGATCAAGAAGGCATCCTTATAGGTGATTGTGTGTCCCCAGAAGCATATATACTGTTTTTGCACTTGACACCTATGACTTGCTCCTCTTTAGCAGTTAATGCATAAATCAAGATACCTAGTACATCAGCGCTACATTTAATGGAAGATCTAAGTCGAATCTCACATATGTTCCATGCATTCAACGACCCGTCTGAAATTGGTCTCTCCATATAAGCCATCTAATAACTCTTCAACAACCAAAAACCCTAAAAAATTGGAAGTATCATTATCATGCTCCTTTGCAGTCTCATTTATTGAGCACAATTGTCCGTAAGTCACCATAACCATCTTTGGATCAGCAATGAATGGTTTTCACCATCTCTATCATAGATCAAAAGCTTTATACCTCTAAGTTAGGATTATGCCTTGACCACAATATCTGTCGGCCGTTGGGTCCCAATATGCCCAGCACCCTCATCCAACCAGAAAACCCTTGTCTTGCAGTAACAAACTGCTTCATTTTGGTTACCAAAAGTTAACAATTTGTACTTAGCAAAAGTTGACAATATGTACCTAGTACCTACAGATGATTCTTTGCCCAACAAAACTAAAACAGCATTGGGTATAGGAAGATCAACCTCAGCAAATGTCACGTGATAATAATTTGCATTCCTCTAGCACACATCACTAGACAGAGCATTAGCATAAAAACATTAAATGATATGAAGTTTCACCATGCAAGCTGCTCCTTTGTTAGCAAGCAGAAATGGTCCAAATTGAAGTAGGAAATAAACAAAAATTAGTTCTAACAACAATATAGCAGATGCTGATGCAGATGCAAAATAAATGAAGGAAAAAAGTCAAAAACCAACTTATACAGAAAAACCTGGCGGGTACAGATTTACGAAATCAACCATTTGTTAATCCATATGAAAAGATTTAGACAGAGGACATACAAAAGAGACTGACCTGAGAACATGTGGATCAACATATAATTGAATGCCTGACAAGTATGGAACATAATACTGCTTGACAGATTCATTCCCATTTATTAACAACGGCACTTCTACTCCATAAGCGCTCCATTCCCTAAAAGATTCCCAGAGATCCCCGAGGCAAAAGTAAGAATTACCATCAACTTCTGGCGTCCTACATCCTTTTAGTTTGGGCTGTGTAATGCAAACACCACCAGTTAACAACAGAAAGAATGAAATCCTTAGGGCGAACAACAACAAAAATTGTGTTATCTGATAGCAGCGGGAGCGCACAGTCAAACAACCAACTATAGCCTGACAACTAAAATAAACCCAAATCAGTTTCCTTTAACTTATTGAAAGCAGCAGGATGGAAACAACTATTGAGAAGTTTTATCCGCTCCTCTTTCGCCACATCGACTCCGGATTCATACAGATGCATTAAATTATCGTCTCAACATAATTTAATCGGGACCAAACTATTAAAGGTACTCAACCATCAAGACTTGGCTGCATGCTTCAAGTTACAAGGATATACATCAAGAGAACTATGATTCAAGGCTTTCAATGATGGGAATAATTATCACTATTGGTGGAACCAACAACTAGACAGTAAATCAAATAGGATGACTCTCTATCGCGTTATGTTACATCACCAAAGGAAGGCTGCAGCCTGTTGCTTCTTTCCTTAACCTCGCATTTGGAAGCAGACAAAATCAGTTTACCACCATCATTAATATCAGAGTCAAACCATCAGAACAATAATATACGACGCTGCCTGATGAACAGGATTCAGGGGATATATTCCAGCAGATATTTAAAATGTCAAGAGCTTCGTGCAGAAGGGGTCAGAGACTCGGTTGCTACAAAACAAGGTCCAAATTTTTTCACTTTTTCATGAGTTTTAGCCTACCGAAGATCGAATTTGTACCTCATATAAGATTTGAGCTTGAACGAAGGGAGTGACTGATGACATAAAACGATCCAAGTTAGTCAAATTAACAGTTTCGGGCGGCGAAGACGAGCCAACGGAGTTGGGTCTCGACAATGTCGACTCATCAGAGTTGGTAGGCGTCTCCCTATCGAGTGAGCCGACACGGGAATCGGACTTCAATGGTCTTTGCAGTTGCTGCGCCCGCTGCTGATTTCTCCGAACAGCCGGAGGGTTGTAGAAGCGGTCCACACCTCGAGTTCGCGCCAAGGCGGAGCCTCCCGAGTTAGACATTATTGAAATTCACGAGAACAGCAGGATCAGTGATAGTCAAAAGCGAGATTAAATTATAAATTGTATTTACAGTGAAAATTCAGATACAGAATCACCGGGTGCAGCAGAGGGTATTTCAGGGTCAAGTGAGGAAGGAAAAATCATTGACAGCCATTGAAGCTGGGGAGCAAGCTCTGTGTGCTGGGAGGATTGGATTTGGGAGAGGAAGAAGAGTCCTTATATAGTCTGAGGAAAGGGAAGATGAGGAGAAGACCTTTGTTTTATTTATGTGTTGGAAGAACCCCCCCCCCCCCAAAAAAAAAAAAAAACTCGCGTGGGTTTTGAAGTTTGAACACATTTGTGACAAATGACAACCGAGTGACCGCTATGCCCTTGGACCTTAAATTGACGCATGTATCCTTATCATTGAATTACTCCTTCCTTTAAGATTTAAGATTTACTTGGGTCGGATTGGAATATTCTGCCAACCAGTAGAAAGGTCCGGACTTTTATCACGTTCATCCAGTTTACTGGAAAAGTTCTTCTCTTGCAGTATCTTTCAAGTAATCCTTCGAATCGAAAGGTACGGTGATTATCTCAAAATATTGTGAAGGGAAATGCGTGATGCATCATAGATTGTATTATTCTAAGAAAACTCCTCCTTATATACTAGTATTAAATAAGTAAAATGACAAAATGTTAATTTTTTTTAATGTGACAAAATGTTTAATTTTTTTATTGCAGATAAAGTGATAAACAATCACGTGTGAGATTATACTCTACTGGGATAATTTGACCATTGTAGGTGTGATAATCTCAAACATTGTATATATACATCATTTAGAAGCATATATGATGAGTATTTCCATCTATCATAATTACATGACAAAATATTAAAATTCTGCTCGATTCTAAATACAAGTCAAAAGTGTGGTGTTGACTCTTTTAAAATATTATTATCCCTTCTTTTACTAACGTGGTTTTTAATTCTTCGCAGCACTTTATAGTTACTCAAAATATTTAAATTAAACATACCTTTCATTAAATACAACCGAGTGATTGACGAGCATAAATCAAATTAGAGTGGTTGAATAGTTTTTACTTGTTCAGAGTATTTTCAAGTCAGACACATTAATGACCCTTGATAATTTGCAAAATGCATTACAAGCTATGAAAAAGTGAATTATAAACCGAAACATAAAAATCTTCAAAAGCATTCATTATAGTAGCAGAACGGATGGAGTTTTTTTTTTTATTATTTACGTATTTTATTAACAACAGTTAAAATGAATAACTGATTATGAAATATATTCAGAGATGAGTTAACCGTGAGATAAAAAGGCAATAAACCCTGACTGGTGTTTAAAATTTTAAAATATAACTAATAAGATTAAACAAACCCCCTCCAGTCGAAATGATTTGAAAGTTCAAGGGCGTTATGGTAAACTAGCAGCGGATAAGATACACGGCTCCGGATATTTGGGTGATAGAGCTGCGTTTTCCGTTTCGATTGAAATGCTTCTCTCTCAAGCTATTGTATATTTTTAATATTAAGTGTATATTATAATATTTGTTTTGATAAAACATCAAAGCTGGCTTCCCAACGGAGCAAACGTTATATAGTTACGAAGGACATGCATGTAACAGCCAAACCTGTTGTCTCATGTTTGTTGACTCCACGTTTTCAAGCTTGCGTTGCGTCCTCCACGTACGAGTGGGTTTAGTACCAAAAATTACAAATTAATTTCAGCAATAAATTCCACGGGCGTAATAAAGTATAACTATTAATGTTACCTGCTGCTATTAATTTCACATCATTTTTGTATGACTGGATATTTACTCTGAAGGCGAGTAGTGATGAAGGATCTTAAAATAAAGTTTATTAAAGATAAAACCGACAACAATCAATTTAATTGCAAGCTCATGCCAAAGTCCTCACAATCAAAATAAAATAGATTTTTTTTTTGCCAGCACAAATATCATAGACTAATTTTTGGATTAATATTGTTTTAGTCCTTTATGATTTTATTCAATTTTAATTTTAGTCTCCACGGTATCAAATTCTTTGTTTTGATCCCTGTGGTTTTTTTTTTGGGGGGGGGGTTTTGGTTCTATATTTAAATTCATAAAAACACTAGATCAAAACTAACAATTTGAAATTATAAGAATCAGAATCAAATAATAATATCAATCTTTAGTTAAGTGTATTGATTAGAAACTATCATTATTAGAAGGACTATCTTGAAAAAAAATGCATAAATATGAGAGAAAAAATAAATTGGGGTCTTATAATTAGGACCAAACAAAAAGTCAAACAGGGTCTTATATTAAGGACCAGAGGTAGTATTTTTTTCCAAGATAATCCTTCTAATAATGATAGTTTTAGCCGATATACTTAATTAGCAAGGATTTTTAGGAATGACAACACTTATTTATTATAAATAACCAACTTAACTTACTTCCTTAATCTCTTCAAATAAGTCATTGGGTCTTATATTAGGACCGGAGGAGTAGTAGTTTTTTTTTTGCCAGCACAAAATATCATAACTAATTTTTGGATTATTGTTGTTGTAGTCTTTATGATTTTATTCAATTTTAATTTTAGTCTCCACGGTTTCAAATGTGTGTTTTGATCCCTGTGGTTTTTTTTTTGGGGGGGGGGGGTTTGGTTCTTATATTTAAATTCATAAAAACACATACATCAAAACTAACAATTTGAAATTATAAGAATCAGAATCAAATAATAATATCAATCTTTAGTCTTTTTACTTACTTTCCATGGTGAATTTCCCCAGAAACAACCTTTGAAGTGAGGAAGGTGGGGATGAAGAAAAATAATGCTAGAGTGTGTTGTAACAAGTAAAACAATAAATATTTAGTGTTAAAACAAATAAATTACTCCTCCGGTCCTTAATATAAGACCCACTTAACTAATTTGATTAGATTAAGGAAGTTAGGTAAATTAGTTAATTATAAGAAAAGTGACACATTTTTCCTAAAACACCATAATCATCTTTCTTAATACCCCATCCCCCTCTTTTATTTGGTTATGGTTGAGGGAGTATTCATAGGGGTAATTTAGAGAAAATTGATAATATGATAAAGGAGTCTTATATTTAGGACCAAAACCAACAAACTCAAGAATTGAGTCCTATATTAAGGACCGGAAGAGTATTACAAATTGGTTTGTAAATACTGCAAAACTCTCTTTAATTAAATCACTTCCCTCCGGTCAAAAAAAAAAAAAATCACTCCCCCCGGGGGGAAAATCACATGGGCGGCCAACGATCAATGTCAATGCAGAGTATTACAGAATTTTACTGTTTATTCATCGTAACCTACAAACAAGACATTCTCATCATTACAAATAATTTTAATTTTTAATGCTATTATTGATCAGCATCTGCAGTGTATTTTTAATGCCATTTATTACAACTTATAAGTAATACCTTGCTTGAATTTTTTATGTGATCAAAGGAAAGAATATTTTCTGTTGTTCCATAATTCTCCCTTTTTCCTGCCACCGACAAATATAATTCTCGCCCTTTTCTTATCATTTATTATAATTATGACAGCTCCAAGTAACAGCAAATTGATAATGGTGCAGCGTCTTTTTTTTTTTTTCGGACTAAAGTATCCCAAAAGGAGGGAGTGGATCCCCTCCCGTTTTGAACGGCTCAATTGCGCCTGTTTCATGGGAGTGCAGCCTTTATTGTTGATATGTTAATCCTCATGTGAAGGCCCAAGTATCATCCTCCTCCTTTCGGATGTCTCTTTTTTTTATTGGAAAAAATATTAGGCTTCCCAGTTTCGATCCACTTTGCTTCCTAATATCAGGGAGAGCACCACAGTTGATTATTAACCCGTTTGAGTTAAAATCTATGAATATTGTATCATAAAACCTAATTAAAATTTGAAAAATTAAAAAAGTTATTAAATTTTAAAGTTTTTATACTTATCGTTCTCCGAGCTAATTTAACTCATTTATAAAGTATATAATCAATAATACATATAAGTATTTTAAAGATATCATGTAACAGGTGTTATAATTAAGTAATAGTATTTAGTAATTTTTTTACTGTTCCCAGATCAGTGAGTTAGATACTTATAACATTAACGTTGCAAAGAATCTAAGTTCTATTAAATTGATATTTTAAAACCTAACTCTATTTTTTTTTTCATAATAAAAAAATAAGGCAAAGATCGTAATCCGTGATTAATGTAAACACTAATTGAGGATCGTTGCTGTGTAAATAACCTTAAAAAAAATAGTAATCTATCTTATAATCTTAGCTAGGAGTCTAGGACAATAGGTTTTAAGAAAAGACAAATTTTCTATATTATGCTATCCCCGATCTCATTCTCATTTTATCAGACAGGGGATTAGAATTCTTATGGATCTTTAAATGCTATATTGCTATCAAACAAACGGAATGCCTGTTTGTTGAGAGGATATTCTCTACTTTATTCTCTAATCATATCAGACATTAAATGTGGACATATTAATTTTTATTTTGAGAGGAACTAACTCATTTCCCCAAATTTCGTAGCATTTTTTTAATTTCATCATCTTAATATTATGCTGTAAATAGGCTCATCCGCTCTTGTGCGGTATATTTGTTTTTTATTTCTTTTATCAAAGTTATCTTTATGTTTAAAAAAAAACAAACAAACAACAAGCAGAGTTTTTAAGATTAAAAAAGAGTACAAAATTAGGGGTGGTTCAACAGAGCCCGTCTCGGTCAGCCCATTCCGGTTCCGGTTTATTGGGAGAGGACGGGCTCGTCCAGAAATTTTTTAGGACGGGACAAAAGAAAAGAGACGGGAGAGGAGAGGGGTCCCGGTCCCTTTTTTTTTTTTTAAATTTTTATCATTATTTAATATATTATTTTTTTAATTTTTTTCTAAAGATTTAAGACTATGTATGAATATGGACCTATTTATTTAGAGTTTTATATTTGTTGATGGTTTGAAACTATTGATTATTATAATTTCTAACGAGTTTTTATTGTGTTCAAGCTTTTATTATACTCCCTCCGATCCTTAATATAAGACCCATTTAACTAATTTGATTAGATTAAGAAGTTAGATAAGTTAGTTAATTATAAGAAAGTGACACATTTTTCCTAAATACCATAATCATCTTTTTTAATACCCCACCCCTCCCCCTCTCTCTTATTTGATTATGGTTGAGGGAGTATTTATAGGGGTAATTTAGAGAAAAATTG